CTGAAAAAACTGTAAAAGTATACTTTATCTGAAGTCACTTGAAACACTGTGAAATACCGGGTGCGTTTTATATATCTATATTTAACACGCTCTGTTGCTGCAAAAATCGCCAAATTTCGCAGCAAATATCCCCCGTATAAGAGATCAAAGGCAGTTTCACCGGTCCATGTGGAGTAAAGCACGCCTATGCGTGGACATAGCCAATGAGAAAGCGTGTATTTCAGAGCTCGGAACAAGTGCAGGTGGCTACTGAAAATTGAAACAGTTTAGCCAGTGCCGTGTACCGGTGAATAAACGTGTTTTCTTTAGTCTGTCCGTGTTTTTTCATAGATTTTATTAGTTTGTGTGTTTTTGACTTTTGAATACTCAGTTTACTTGTTGATTTAATTGTTGTGTTGATTGTTCTTGTGTGTCCTAAATATGGCTCTATGGAGACCTTGGGAAAATGCTCCAAGCCACGAGGAGATGGTTGATGAACCTGTGCAGGCAGAATTCTTTCATAAGGATTTAGAGGAACAGACCCAAAGAGTAATCCTAAATATGTATGATTGTCTGAAAAACGAAAATCCAGATTCCTTGCAAAATCAAATTTTAAACAGAATTTGTATCCTGACAAAAATCAGTCGGTCTACCATTTATCGGGTTATAAAAAGGGGAGATGTAGTCAACCATTCCTTCCACAGAAAGCGCATAGGGCAAACATTAAAAAGAATAGACGTGGGTTTTCAGGAAGATATTCGTCGTATAATATACGGATTTTATAAAGAAAATTTGGTGCCCACGTTGGAAATGATACGGGATAAATTAAAAGATTATCCTGAAGATTTTTATAATTACAAATGCTTAGGCTCACTGCACTGTATTGTAAAACTGTGGTTTTCAATACAAAAAATTAGATAAAAGAATGGTGATTATGGAGTCGTCTCGAATCGTCGAATTGCGCCAAGAATTTTTGCACAAAATTAAAATCTATAGAGAGCAGAAAAGAAATCTGATTTACTTGGATGAAACGTGGTATGATACCCATGATGTTGTGCAGTACGGCTGGGTTGACGACAGCAACAAGTGCATTTTAAATGCACCATGCAACCGTGGAAAACGAATCATTATTCTCCATGCTGGCAATGAAAATGGATTTATACCTAATGCCTTGCTGTTATCTGCCAAAAATATCAAAGAATCATGTGCCGACTATCATGAGGACATGACCTCCGACTTATTTGAAAAGTGGATAGAGCAGCAGTTAATACCAAACATTTCCCCAAATTCAGTGATTATTATGGACAATGCGCCATACCATTCTCGACAGAAAAACAAAATTCCGAATACAGGCACAAAAAAAAACAAGACATTATTGATTTTATGAAGGATAAGGGAATGGAAATACCACAAAAATCAACCAAAGCCATATTATTGGATCTTATTAAAAGACAAATATTTGAAAAAGAGCATGTTGTTGACAATCTGCTTCAGCAAAATGGCCATGAAGTATTACGTCTACATCCCTATTACTGCATTCTTAACCCGATTGAGTTGGTCTGGGCTGCTTTAAAAAAAAGTAAGAAAACATAATCAGACCCCTCAATTAAGAGATAAGTATCTCATATTGCTGCCACAGACCTATGGAAGCAGTGTTCTAGGCATATTATTGAAAAAGAAAATGAATATTGTGTTTTGCCTCCTGTAAATCCCGTTGTAATTCCTCTACAAGATGACTCTAGCGACAGCTCCGAAGGCGCGGATGATATATGTATAAATACCTATAATGTAAGTCTTTATATACCTTTTTATATACCTACCTGCTATGTAAATATTTGCCTATGTCAAACGTTGGAATTCTGTAATTTTTCCATTCCTTAACTTTCAGTCAACATAAATTAAACTCCCAATATAAGCATTTTTTATCCCAAATCAAAAAAATAAGAAGATAGTAAAATCCATTTATTGTTATATAAAAGGACGCGCCGACCAAAGGTTTTTATGCTATTTCAAGTGACTTCAGATACACCATACATATATCCGGTTTTGTACGCGAGCTCCTCATTTATTCTCGCCTCCGATTTAAGATTTCTGTACCGGATATAACAAAAGTAACAGTATTTGACCTTTTACAAAAATACTATTCTGGACAAAGTCCGAACCGTTCTAACTTTAAACAAAAAATTCGATGGTAACCTCTGACTCAACCTTAGGCCTTAGTTTCAAACTAATTTTTAACTCCTCTCGTTGATACGAGCAATGAAAATAATGTCGTTCTAGACCTGCTCATGTTCTATTGTTACCTTGAAAATTAGGAGCAAGATCAATATTGAAATACTTGCTAAAAGTTACTGAAACCTTTGCAAATGATATCATATTTGACGTCGATCTCAGATTTTAATATACTAACTGACATATAAATCCGAACACCCAGTTTAAATGGTTTTATTTTAATAAAAGTTGGTGAATGTATTTATCTTACTGTAAATAACAAGTGAAACAATTTTCAGCCTTTTCAGTTGGACATTCCGGTTTTTATACTGCTTTTTTTTAATTCACTAACGCTCTAAAAATGAATATTTCAGCCGCAGTAAAGAATCAACGTTGGCGGATTTTGGTTCTTGACATCCTTTACGATCGGTTACGATGCCTAGAGTACGGAGACCTGTACGATTTCGTCAACTTAGTGAGTTTGATAGGGGAAGTATAGTGGGACTTCGGGAAGCTGGACTTTCTTTTCGGGCAATTGCAGTTAGAATGCAAAGAAGTGTAGACACTGTGGTTTGGTGTAGTCAGGCCTGGCTTCGAGAAGGCCGTACGCAAAGAGCAAGGGGCACTGGACGCCGCCGTAGAACAACAGACCGTGAAGATCGCCGCCTAAGATTATTGGCCTTAAGGGACCGTTTATCCACTACCAGGTCCATAGCAAATGAATGGTTTGCAGAACACGGAAGACCTATTGGCATGCGAAGTGTTTACCGACGAATTAGAAGTTTTGGCTTGTTTTCATACCGGCCACACTGGGTTCTCCCTTTAACTCGAGAACACCGACGTAATCGCCTTGAGTGGGGCAGACAACGGTCACTCTGGGATCAGGAATGGAACAGTATTGTCTTTAGTGACGAGTCTCGATTTTGTTTAGGCATACACGATGGTCGTGCCAGGGTTAGAAGGCGACGTGGTGAAAGGAGGAATCCACAGTTTTTTGTTGAAAGACATGTTCATCACACTGTTGGAGTTATGGTATCTTCATCAGAGGTAACATGAACGCGCAGCGTTATATCCACGAAGTTCTAGAACCCCATCTTTAACCCTATCTTGACACCCTGGCAGATCCAACTTTCCAACAAGATAATGCCCGACCACATGTTGCAAGAGTCACAATAGACTTCTTTCAACAAAATGATGTCACATTGTTACCATGGCCACCAATATCTCCCGACTTATCCCCAATTGAGCACGTGTGGGATATGATGGGTAGGAGATTGCTCAATTTGCAACGTCCTCCTCAGACTCTAGAAGCACTTCGAGAGGAGTTGGTGGTTGCCTGGAATGAGATACCACAGGAGGACATTGACATGCCTAGGCGCGTTGGAGAATGCGTAGCACATCAGGGTGCATCCACACATTATTAAAGGTCAAAGGGCTTTAAAGCAATGCAATCATTTTGAAATTTTTATCATTTACTTATTATACTTCATTAAGTACTTATACAAAATTTTATTAAAATAAAACCATTTAAACTGGGTGTTCGGATTTATATGTATGTCACTTAATATAGATATCCAGAGGTAAGACTTTTCGGCGTCGAAAACGAGGCTTTCTATAAAAAAAATAAAATTTGGCCTTTGAAGGTGAGGCTTAAGGTTACCAAGGTCACCACTAAACTCTTTCTTCAAAGTCAGTGCAGACTTATTTTTGACGTTTTTCAAAGTTATCTTATCTGGAAAAATACGGTTCTGTATTTTCCTTCACTTTGACCTGATGTGTAATTTTTGAAAAGTTTAATCTCCAAATGGCAAAACGCGAACATAATACTGTCCTCTTTAAAACCGAAATTTTTGAGAATTAGTTCCAGATGATGATGAATAAATTGATGAAATTTCAGCATCTCCATCATGAAAGTTCGACGGAAATAAAGGACAATCAGGTTAATGCGTTACTTTTTCGAAAAGATTTTTATCCTCCTGACGACTTTGCATAATACGATGTAATTTTCAATTATAAAAATCATGCAAAACTGTCAACTGGCCTTCACAGTGAAGTACTGTGTTGTAAGTGCAAATTTGGTTCCTCTAGTTGTTTATTTATTCTGGCTTACAGACCTCATCATTGTCCAGTTAATGAATGCATTAGTCAAACTGATAATTTCATCTCCTTTTTCTTGCCACAATTTGATAATATAATCATCTTGGGTGACATGAATGTAGATTTGATGGAGCCCAGCAATGCCTTCAGCGGTTGTTTTGATTTCTATGGCTTTAGACAGTGATGAACTTACACGAGTAACTCGCTTCAGTTCCACTTTGATTGATGTAATATTTGTTTGTGATGTAGATAATGTTTTTAATTTTGGTACAATGAATGCTGACTTCATTTCTGATCATAGATTAGTTTTTCGGACAACACGCGTCACTAAGAAACCTGCCGCTTGGCTAACATTTGCGCTATGTGACTTTGAATTGTATATACATATTTCCTCACACAATAGGGTAAGAGTAGCCAACTGGCTAAACATCGCCCTATTGTTGTGTTGCTAATAAAGACATTTAATATTATTATTATTACATATTCCGGAAGAGATTATTTTGCTTCAAAACAAAATAACTGACTAACATGTGAGTTTGAGAAGACACAATGACAAATAACAAGTATGCGATGACAGTTTTATTTCCCTTTCAGACTCGTGGCAGAAAGGCAACATCGAACCTTGACTCGTATGCTGCAGATTTTTCTGAAAAAATCTGCCTTAAGCTCCTATACTATCAATCGGCCTTTGGAGAGAAAGCACATTCGTTGACGTACGATTTAATGGAAACAGTATGTATGCCAGTGGAACATTCCATATCAACTAAATAGGTTCAGCAGAATGTTGTAGTCTATACATTATTTGTATCCATAGCGTTATCTGTACACGTTCGACTATATACAATATATACAACATCGTTCAATCAGTCGGGTTGGATACTCCATCGTAAACCTCTTTATTTACCACGCAGCGACCCTTCACCTGGAACAATAGAGAATTGTGTAAACCGTGTTTGTTTGGTTTTGGAACACGTGGTGTCAGCTAAATGGAACGTCACGGAAGTGGACGCAAAGTTAAATAGAAGCGTGGAAGGGTTTATTAGTATAAAGTGCAGTTAGTTCAGTGTGAAAATGTCAAGGTTTACTTTTAAATTGACAGAAGGCTCTAAATAGATTGTTTAACTGGGAAACTTGGGTAGCAGCATGTATTATTGCTGGATACTGATAACACATTGTTTCCAGTTTCAAAAGCAAAAAGTTCGTTTAAGCCACAGTCTAGGGGGGATTCATTGCAATATTTATTTACTCTATCTGGACACCGATAGTTTGATTCATGCAAAATTCTGTCAAAATGAGGAAGAATTCAAATCTATGGTCATAGCTTTGCCTTGATCATCTTTAGCACAGAGGCTTAACTGCTACTTTTTTCATTTCTAGGTTTAATTATTGAGCTCTTGCCCAAAAAATCTTCATTTTTGTATACCAGAGTATAATGGTCATAAAAAAGTCTTGAAATTCCGCGAAGTGCAATTTGAAGTGAAGAATTGGACCTCCCATCAATCTCAACAAAAATACTCACGATCATAATTTTAGCACAGAGAATGAGCTTTAATTTAAAATGTAGATAATCAAGAGTTTGTGTTTAGCTTTCTCCAAGCTCCTTTAAGTGTTAAAAGTCAACAGCTGCAAGATATCGACCAGACATCTTATAGTGTTGGAAGGTACAACATGAAATAGTAAAATGAGCCCTCTGGAGTCTCCTGTCAATCTAAGCGATTACTGGAATTAATAACTCATGCACCCGATTCACTCGAAAAGTTTTTATCTAAATTTCAGATACGCAAGAATCTTTGAAATCCTTTTCAATGGCAGGTCTTTAAGGTCATAAATGATAATTTTCTCAGCGCTTCCAACATGATAAGATGCTGGCAAACTATTGACTGAGGACTGAGTGAAAACGAAGGTATGAAAACCATAAGTTTGAAAAACATTCCAAGAATTATTAATGATTAACTGAGATTTAGAAAGATTGCACATTCTATTTAAACAAGCGCTGTGATTTTCCCAACATTTTTTCTCGCTGCTCCAAATGTTTCCTCCCAAAAATGGCATCAACAACCATAACCTTTATTCAGAACATAAAATGTCAAGCAGTTACCTTCTTCATCCTTCCTTGGATCTTAGATGGCACTTCATCACCTGAGCATGTTGAGCAAGCCCCACATCAGCGAAAGCGCTTCAGCAATGGTTGCTCTGTCGGGCAAACAGATGGCGCCGTTGCTGAATGCCCCCGGAGGTTCCCGAATGGGCGGGGGCCCGTTAGACGGGAGGGTGTACTCGCTGCCACTGCTGTCATAGTCGTATTCTGGAATAAAAAGAAAATGTTTATTCATGACGGTGGTCCAGTTAAGCGGGAGGGCTCATAAGACCGGTTTTCGAAAAAATACCAAAATTAAAGTTCTCTTTTGATTGGGTGAATAAAATTACTAAACAATATGACTGCAAACTGCACTAGGTGAAGATATGTCATTTTCGACAGAGTAAAAGTCAGTTCACAATTAGCTTTGAAATTTCGAAAAAGCCATTCAATATATTGTAAGCTTACGATGTAAGTAAGAAGGTCTCTGTAACTTATGGGTCATGCCTATAAGTCGATGAGTCTGGATCCGAGGTCAGTATGTCCGTATCAGGTCATTTGAAGGGCGTTACGAGGTCAGTTCAAGGTCAAATTGAGAAAATGCCGGAAAATCATATCTACTGGATCCAGACGTAGGTTTTTGAAAATGACATATATACGCAGATATTTGAATGATTCAACTACTTCAATTTTTTCATGATTAATCATGAGCCTCATTGTATCGTCACCCAAATGTTTCCCTATTGACATACATTTTGTTCGAGTAGTGTTTAATTTGAATTTATTAACATTTAACCAATTCATATTTTTTAATATCACTATTTAACAATACTAAACCAGTGTCCAAATGACTGTGTTATATACGAGTATGTATACTGAGTGACATATAAATCCGAACACCCAGTTTAAATGGTTTTATTTTAATAAAATTTTGTATAAGTACTTAATGAAGCATAATAAGTAAATGATAAAAATTTCAAAATGATTGCACTGCTTTAAATCCCTTTGACCTTTAATAATGTGTGGATGCACCCTGATGTCCAACGCTCCTAGGCATGCTTCTGATCAGGTGGTCAATGTCCTCCTGTGGTATCTCATTCCAGGCAACCACCAACTCCTCTCGAAGTGTTTCTAGAGTCTGAGGAGGACGTTGCAAATTGAGCAATCTCCTACCCATCATATCCCACACGTGCTCAATTGGGGATAAGTCGGAAGATCTTGGTGGCCATGGTAACAATGTGACATCATTATGTTGAAAGAAGTCTATTGTGACTCTTGCAACATGTGGTCGGGCATTATCTTGTTGGAAAGTTGGATCTGCCAGGGTGTCAAGATAGGGTAAAAGATGGGGTTCTAGAACTACGTGGATATAACTCTGCGCGTTCATGTTACCTCTGATGAAGATTAAAGGTGACCTGGAACCATAAGCTATAGCACCCCAAACCATAACTCCAACAGTGTGATGAACATGTCTTTCAACAAAAAACTGTGGATTCCTCCTTTCACCACGTCGCCTTCTAACCCTGGCACGACCATCATGCATGCCTAAACAAAATCGAGACTCGTCACTAAAGACAATACTGTTCCATTCCTGATCCCAGAGTGACCGTTGTCTGCACCACTCAAGGCGATTACGTCGGTGTTCTCGAGTTAAAGGGAGGACCCAGTATCGCCGGTATGAAAACAAGCCAAAACTTCTCATTCGTCGGTAAACACTTCGCATGCCAATAGGTCGTCCGTGTTCTGGACCTGGTAGTGGAGAAACGGTCCCTTAAGGCCAATAATCTTAGGTGGCGATCTTCACGGTCTGTTGTTCTACGGCGGCGTCCAGTGCCCCTTGCTCTTTGCGTACGGCCTTCTCGAAGCCATGCCTGACAACACCTAACCACAGTGTCTACACTTCTTTGCACTCTAACTGCAATTGCCGGAAAAGAAAGTCCAGCTTCCCGAAGTCCCACTATACGGCCCCTATCAAACTCACTAAGTTGACGAAATCGTACAGGTCTCCGTATTCTAGGCATCGTAACCGATCGTAAAGGATGTCAAGAACTAAAATCCGCCAACGTTGATTCTTTACTGCGGCTGAAATATTCATTTTTAGAGCGTTAGTGAATTAAAAAGAAGCAGTATAAAAACCGGAATGTCCAACTGATAAGGCTGAAAATTTTTTCACTTGTTATTTACAGTAAGATAAATACATTCACCAACTTTTATTAAAATAAAACCATTTAAACTGGGTGTTTGGATTTATATGTCACTTAGTATACATCAATGTATCGTTATCGTATAATTTGGATTGCTGTTTTTGTAGAATATTTTTTTCTAGCTTGATATTACGTCAAAGTTTGGTGATGTAATCAGTTCATTTTGATTAAGATTTGAGATATTTTTTTGAAAATTGCCTGCCTTCTTCCAATGGACTATGTTGATTTTGCTATAACTCACCTCTTTTATGATTGTATATCGAAACTGGGTTTATTGTGGTTGTCAACACCGTTGGCGCAGGTATTTCTGTAACAAATAGAGAAAGCGATGAAACATAGGGATGCTAGAATCAGATTATCTAATTTGTAATCATCAAAAGTCAATGAAAGTGAATATGCTCGAAAATCCGTGAACGCGAATTGTCGGAAGTAAAATTATACATTATGTTACCTGGCAGAGAGATATGTCAGCTTCATGTCTCTGCGACTATAACAAGCCGTAAACAATCTTACTTCACGCGTGTCAGCAATAATCAGAACGACATATATGGAGCATACATCGAAGAAAATGTGGTCCTGACGGCATAACCTTGTGTATGCTCAAGCTTTGTATATCAGAGTTATTAAATCCATTGACACACATTATAAACTGTTGCTTAGAGAAAGGACATTTTCCTCGACTTTGGAGAGAGGCTCTAGTATGTCCTTTACCTAAGATCCCTGCTCCAACTGAGCTTGCTCATTTGAGACCTATTAGTTAACTATGCATTCCATCCAAACAGTTAGAAAAAATAGTTAATGTACAGCTAAATCGGTATTCAATAGATCAAAATATTCTGCCTAAGCACCAGTCGGGTTTTAATGGAGGGCATAATTCAACCACTGCTCTTTTAAATCTTAATGATGAAATTATACGGTCGCTAGATAAGAGGCATGCCACTCTACTTATATCCTTGGATTTTTCAAAAGCCTTTGACACAATTGACCATTCACTTATGTGCGCGAAACTGTATCATTATGGCCTTGAGCATACAGCGTTGAACTTATTTTAAGTCTTCGTAAGACATAACAAAAGATCTGAGATAACAGGAGTTCCTCAAGGTTCTGTTTTATTACCGTTGTTATTCATTATATACACAGCTGATATCTTGAGATCCGTACAGTACTCGCACATTCAATCTTATGCTGATGACACGCAGCTTCTGTTTCATTTTGAAGCATCTCTTGTGGAACAGGCAAATGATTTAATCAATACTGACTTACGAACAGTATCTGACAATTGTAAAGAACACAATTTGAAACTAAATCCTGATAAAACGAGCTTGTGCCTTTCTGTTCTGATCACAAGCGAGAAAACTTGAGCAGTGGTCTGACCCTCTTCTTGAATGAACAACAACCTTATTTTTCAAGTAGCTTTAAGATACTTGGTTTGATCATAGATGACAAGTTACGTTACCAGCAATACATTAAAACGACATCTCAGAGGTGTTATTTGAAACTGCGAGTAGTGTATGCCAATAAGTAGATTATTAGCTTCAAGACGAGGAAAAAGCTGGCTGAAAGTTTGGTACTATCAATTGTCAGTTATGGTTTGATTGTTTTTTATCCATGCCTGGGGTATTCGACTCAAATGCGCCTGCAGAGATTGCAGAATGACTGTTGCCGTTTTGACTGTATTTTACGTAAATTTGACCACATATCTAGCAGGCTTTTACAATGGCTCAATATCAATTTTTTGTTCAAATATTTTTATCTAACAACATTGAATCGTGTATTATATTCTAAGAATACCGTATTTCTAGTAGAAAAGCTGGTCCCTAGCTCAAGTATACATAATGTCAATATGAGACATCAAAACCATTTTACAACGCCTATATATGTAACCTGACTCTATTGTAGATCTTTCGCGTATAATGCAGTGTCTTCTCTTTAACATCTATGGCAGGAATATCGATATGTCAAATACTAGTAACGTCCGTTTCAAACTGCATCTCAGACAACATCTACTAGGAATTCAGCATACGATCAATGAATAAATGCCCTGTGATCAATTACCATTATTTTCTTTTTTAGTTAGATTCAAAGAAATGCAATCGTTTAGTGTATATGCAGTTTGTTATTATTATTATTACATAGATCTAGTCAACAGAAAGAAAACAAGCGAATATGAATCAGGCACTGTTAAACTATCTTATCCTGATAGATAAGTGCTTTTATGGAATATTTCAGTCATCAGAATGTTTCGAGCCGCATGATTACGGTTCCTGATAACAAGTCCAAACAAATATCGACTCCCGATTGACAATCCTGTGTGATTAAAATAGCGACGCAAAAAAAGAAAACCGTAGAGTTCATGGAAGCTTCAGGCGTCTGAAGCGAAACAGACATAGGTGCAGTCGACAGGGCCGAAATTCATCTTCTATTATGAATGTTATTGAATCAAGAGTTTTTTCTGCATTTTTCGGATGGTGTGTCTCAATCTTGTGAACGGTTCTTCACTGATTACGTTTAGCACAGGTTAGTCCCTCTACAGTATATTCAGATAAGAGATAGACCGGATGTAAGCAAAAGGTTCGGGAGATTTTCACGCTAACGCCGCCGTCTCGACGTAAAACAGAAGCCCTCATTGGTCAATTCGCAATTAAATGCCTATGCCGAGCGGCAGAGCAGTCGTATCAAGGCAGAGTCACATTCAGGTTCAGACGTGTTACGTATGTCGTGTGCATCATTGCAATTTGATATTTCTTTGGACGTTTTCGTTTGTTATCTTATTAAGTGGTTGAGTTTGTCGTTGTTATTGTTATACCTTGTTATTGATTGTTATTGTTATCAACTGCTTGCGCAAAATGCCCAGTAGTACAAATACTGCCGATGAAGTTGTAAACTCCTGTAGTCCACCTAGGAAACGCTCTAAAAAAAACCTGAGTGCAGAAATGAAAGAGGTCATTTTGAATATATATAAGATCGAGCGCGAGGAGAACGAGGCATCAACCATCAAAGAAATTGTTGTGAAGGTTTCTCACAAAGTTGGGGTGTGTCGCGCATCAGTGTTTAATGTGTTAAGACAATACAAAAAAAATCACACCTTTTCTGAGCCAATGACCACTAAACATCGCAAAAGTATTGTTAAATCATTGGATGAAGCTGATAAGCATGCGATTAGGAGGAAAGTGCATGAATTCTTCTTTAGGAATGAAATACCTACTATAGATAAAGTACTGCAGGAGGTAAATGGAGATACAACGTTGCCAAATTTCAAACGATCAACTTTCCATGCGTTACTGAAGAATTTAAATTTCAAATGGAAAAAACGGGGTCGTAATAGTTTACTACTGGATAGAGAGGAAATTGTGCTATGGAGGAGGGATTATTTAACAAAAATTGGAAAATATAGAAATCAAAACAGGAAGATTTATTACCTTGATGAAACGTGGGTAAACGCAGGACACACTACAAGTAAAGTATGGGTTGATGATTCTGTAACTTCATCCAGGAGAGCCTTTCTAGATGGACTGTCCACCGGATTAAAAAATCCAGCAGGTAAATACGAGTAATAGACAACAATCGGATGTTTTTCAAACCTTGGGAACAAGGTTCTAAACATTAATTCCAGGGGGCAGATAAAACATATTACAAGTAACAAAACTTTTATAACTTTCGATAAAATGCGTGGATGTTTTATTGTCATTTTCATTTGTTAGAACTTTTTTAAGCCATGTTTTTATGTGTTTTCGATATTTCAATAATTTTTTAATATAATCTTAAAATATGTCGAATATTATAAACTTAAAAAAAGTTACTAAGTTTTATATTGTGTACCGTTCCTAATATTTCTAATCATTTTAATTCATACTTTAAGCTTTATAAAGTTATAATTTGTTAATATTAATATTTGCGCGTATTTCAGGTTCCTGATCATTCATTTTTTAAAGGTTTATAACTTTAAATTAAATTGTGAAGCGCTGAGTAATCATACGACGTTCAATATTCTTTCTTTCAATATGACTAAATAATCCCAATTATAGCAATCTGATACTCATGTCTCAATGTTTTTTCGCTGAATGTGATGAAAACATTTGAAAAAGGTTCGCTTATTGAAATAAATCTACACCAGTTAGTACTTCGATTTCCAGGTAAAGGGAAAAGGCTCATTATCTGCCATATTGGCAGTGAGGATGGATTTGTTGTTGACGGTCTGTGGTGCTTTGAGTCTAAGAAAACTGGAGATTACCACGAGGAAATGAATGGCGAATCGTTTGAACAGTGGTTTTCAAAAATTTTACCGAACTTAGAGGAAAACGCAGTAATTGTGTTGGATAATGCGCCTTATCATTCTCGAAGAATGGAGAAGGTCCCAACAACGGCTTCAAGGAAAGTTGATGTTGAAAATTGGCTCCGCTCGAAAAATATCAACTTTGAAGAAGCAATGCTGAAAGTACAATTATTAAGAATTGTCAAGGATCACAAGGCGGAATATCAAAAATACGCCATTGACGAAATGGCAGCAAGTCAAAATAAAACTGTGCTCCGTTTACCTCCATACCATTGCGAGCTCAATCCCATTGAGCTCATATGGGCAGAGGTTAAAAATTATATAGCTAAGCACAATGCAACTTTTAAATTTTGTGACCTCATAGGACTTTTCAAAGAAGCACTAGAATTAATAACAGCGCAAAAATGGGAAAACTGTATTAAGCACGTGAAAGACAAAGTTGAAAACAGAATGTCGGAACTGGACAATATTTTAGAGGAACAAGTCGAGCCATTCATTATTGACGTTGGTGCTTCAGGCAGTAGCGATGATGAAAGCTCATCAAGCTCATCTTTCCAATAAAAGATGTCGTTCATCAAATTCGGTAAGTTATAAGTAATTATAAAGCTACTGTATTTTTTAATTAATTATTGACATTTTTGAACCCATTTTGGCAAAACCTATTCAAGAATCTACTTTCTGACAATGTTCAACCATGCACATTTTTTTACGTTTTGAACGTTTTAATTTGGTTACATATTTACCTAGAAATCAAAAAATATACTAATCAATATTCTAAAAGCAATTTTAAGAGATATACGATTATTTTTAATGTAGGCTAATTTAAACGTCATTTTGAGATTATATTCGACTGTATTTCACCAAACATCAGGCGGCATCCGAAGCTGGAAATCGAAACGAAAATTTTGAAACCCTTATGTATATTTACATCATTATATATTTCTTACCCCACCCCCACATGATCCTATATCCATCACCAATCGTATACACATCGAATTGTGCTAATTTACTACAAAGTTACGCAAAGCAGCATC